GCTTCTGGGGTTCACTGGAGGGGATCGGGAGCCCGGAGGGGAGGGCGAGTGCGGAGGGAGGAGGGAGGTTGTTGTCGCCTCCGTTTCCATGGCTTTGCTGGCGGCCAGCCCCTTAGAGTGAAATGACCGCAAGGGCCAGCTTTAGGCTTGGGTTGTAGGGCGGTGAGTGGATGGTGGGAATCAGACAAGTTCTGGGTGTTTAAGGAAGGAATAAAGCCCGTCAGCGGGACACAGAAATTCGCAGAGGTTTAAGGGGTGGGGAGGGGTAATGGTGGACCGAAAGGACTGATTGGGCCAGATCGCCTGTGCTGCCTGAGGAATGTTTGTCCTCCTGGGTGCTTGTTCCCATCTTGGGTTTAAAATGGGAAGGAAATGCTGTAATAGAGCTTTCACCTTTAAAAAATAAAAACATTTATTTTTTAGTTATAGGTGGACACAATATCTGTCTTATTTTATGTGGTGTTGAGGTTCCAACCCGGTACCTCACGCATGGTAGGCGAGCCTTCTACCTCTGAGCCACAACCTCAACCCCCCCCTCCCAGCTTTTACTTTTTACATATTTTTTTAACTACATGAATGAAATAGCCTCGAGTTGGGCGGGAAGCTTTAGGTTTTGAAAAGAAAAGCAATTGTGTAAACAAGCAGTGTTAGAATTAAGGTCCCCATCAGTTGGATCAGCTGTGCCTTCGTATTGCCCGCAGCTGCCCTCCTTCGAGGGGGAAGATCAGCTTTAGGCTTGTCGTTGTAGAACTGTTGACTAATTGTATGGACTTCTTAGCTGTCGCAATCTGAAGAGTTTAGGCGGTGGAGATGAGTTGTTGGTGGGGACTTGTATGTTGACACAGCCAGGTTTGGAGGGCGTGTCTGATGACGCTGCCCTTTCCAGTAGCGTTACAATGGCGATGCTGCCTCTGACCTCATGGGCTAGTTTAGGAATCTGGGTAACTGCACCGAGCTGGCTCAAAGTTACAGGGCAGGGCGGGGTGGGGGGTGGGGGGACGCCGGCTGATCAAGTTGCATATTAAGGGAGCTCCCACTTGGAGGGACTCCACATCCGGACATTTCCAAACTGGAGCGTAGGCGGCGAGACAGCAGGTGATCCTGGAGGGCTCTGGTTGGAAAGTGGTAGGGATGTGTAAGGCCAGTGGATCCTTGTTTGACAAAAGTGTTGGAAAGTCTCTCAGTTGGTTTAAGTAAGACTGAGGCGTGGGGGCGTTGTCAGACAAGGGAAAGAGGATTTCTTCAGGAACGCTAGAGTAACGGATCGGCGAGAGCTGGTAGAAAAAGGTTTGGATGTACTCTAGAAGAGTGGGGCGGGGTGGAGGGTGGCAGAGATGGAAGTAAGACTCTAAGCCCTTTCTGGTTATGCTATTGGCTCCAGAAAACAGGGGTTATATTTCGAGAGAAGGATAAAGAAACTGCCTGGATCTCCCTCGCTACTCTGAGAAATCTTATAAAGGCTTTATTGGGTTCCAAGCAGCCACTTCAGGGTGTCCCAAGTCACTCTCCATGAATTTCTAATAGAGCAAGGAAAGTAGTAAATTCCAAGAATGGTGGTTAATGTGCTGAGTCCAGCACATTAATTAATAGGAGAACAGGAGACAGGTGTGATCCCAATAAAATGATCTCAGACACAGGAAAAAGACAATTGAATCAGATCCTGTGAAAAACAGAATATACACCCACTTCCCTCTCAGCTCTTTTGAGTAGCTTCTCAACTACTTTTTTCCTACCATGTCCAATAAGCTCTTTTATCTTGAAAACAAGACATCAATATATTGGTATACCTACTTTCATAACAGTGTTATTCACAATAATTGAAAGGTGTAAGCAATGCAAGTATCCATGTATGTAGCAACGCATGGGTAAATAAAAGATGGTATATACACCTAATAGATATTATTCAGCCTTAGAAAAGAAGGAAATTTTGAAATGTAGCACATAACAGATGAAGATGACCTGCAAAATTAAACAAGCCAAAGGATAAATGCTGTATAATTCAACTTAGGAAGTATTAAAAGTAGTCAAAATTCAGACAGAAGAATAGGGATTGTTAGAAGGGGGTGGGGTGGGGTCTGGTGTGGAAAGGAAGCTGTTTAATGAGTGTAGAGTTTCAGTTTTGCAAGATTATAGAGTTCTGAAGATTGGTTGGACACCACTGCGATTACACTTACTAGTGAACACATGCCTGTAACCCCAGTGGCTGGGCTCTGGAGGCTAAGCAGGACCAAAGCCAGCCTCAGCAAAGGTGAGGCACTAAGTAACTCAGTGAGAACCCTGTTTCTAAATAAAATACAAAATAGGGCTGGGGATGTGGTTCAGTGGTTGTATGCCCTTGAATTCAATCCCTCAGTACCAAAAAAAAAAAAAAAAAAAAAAAAAACAACCTTACTAGTGAACGCTACCCTTAAAAATTGTGAAGATGAGCCAGGCACAGTGGTACACATCTGTAATCCCAGCAGATAGGGAGGCTGAGGAAGGAGGATCTCGAGTTCAAAGCCAGCCTCAGCAACTTAGCAATGCCCTAAGCAGCTCAGCAAAACCCTGTCTCTAAATAAAATATAAAAAAAAAAGGCTGGGAATGTGGCTCAGTGGTTAAGTGCCCCAGGTTCAATCCCTGGTATCAGGAAAAAAAAAAAAAAGATGCTATGTTTTATGTATATTTTACCCCCCAAATTAAAAAATACACCACTCTGCCTCAGAAACTTCCACCTCCACACTCTCTCACCACTATCACCACTGCCACCTGCTTTTGTGTCCTCTGCCACTTTTGCACAACCTGGGCCCCCATTTGGAGAATAAATCATATACCCATGGTTGAGGGAAGTAGGGCAGACCCCTTTCCAGCCTTCAGCAACAGTGAGGGCCACCTTCAGGTATGGGGGTTACATGAACCAGCCTGGCCTCACTGCCTACTGGTGACCCAGTAGGGTTTCATGGCTGTCCTCATGTAGCAGCCCAAGAACTGGGATCATCATCTTCTTTTTTTCTTTTCTTTTTTTTGGTACTGGGGATTGAACTTAGGGGTATTCCACCACCGAGCTACATCCGCAGCCCTGGTTTGCATTTTATTTAGAGACAGGGTCTCACTGGGTTGAGGTTGCTGAGGCTGGCTTTGAACTTTCAATCTGATTTGAACTCCTGCCTCAGCCTCCCGAGCCACTGGGATTACAGGCGTGTGCCACAATGCCCAGCCCTCCAAGAACCAGGGTCTTATGGACAGCTTCCCCAGAATTACCTGATAGGACTCTAAATTATCTTAACAAAAACCTGAGGCTTAGGGCTGGGGTTGTGGCTCAGAGGTAGAGTGCTTGCCTAGCTTGTGTGAGGCACTGAGTTTGATTCTCCGCACCAATATATTGTGTCCATCTACAACTAAAAATACTTAAAAAAAAAACTGAAGCATAAAGTGTATAATTTAGTGTCAACACAACTGGATAGGCAGGACTGGAATCCTACAATGAACCAGTTTTGAAATTGCCTGAAGCAGAATGTGGTTCATTTAGGGATGTTAGAAGCAAGAATTGAGAAGACTGTTTCTCAGGTGATGGATCCAAAATTAAACTGTATCTTCAGGCCACAGATAGAAGGAACAATTCATGGGTTCCCCATGGTTCAGAAAAAGAAGCTGTGCCAGCATCCCATTCAGAACCTGAAAGCAAGGACCATGGCAGGATGATTCCTAAGAATATGCCTGACACCTTTTGAAAGCTACATTTAATTGATGATGATAAAATGGATTCCTGTTAACATAGGATATAGCTTCAAAATGAATATAGGCCAAGATCATCACTGATTTCAAGATTGCAACTTTGTCTGATGCACCGTGTTCAGATTGAATAGGGAGCAAATTTGGCAGTAGGAAGGTGGTTAACTGTGCATGTCCCCTGTGTTGTTTTGCCAGTTGACTAGTTTTTTATTGTTGTTTTGTTTTGGTACT